TCTAGACAGTGAGCGGGCAGGAGGAGGAAGTCCCCACAGGAGGCAGGCGTGTGGTAAGAGCCAGTGGAAGGAAAGCAGGTGTGACAGCGCAGAGGCCAAGTCAGCACCAACACTCTGTGTGGGGGCGCACACATGCGCTGTGTGAGGTGGTGTCCAAGGGTCAACATCCAGTGTCCTCAGTTGCTTTCAATCTGTTTCTTGAGATAGGGTCTCTCTCACTGAATCTGGAGGATCCTCCTGTCTCAGCTCCCTGAGATCCCAGGTGTCCACCCATGCCTGGCACTCTCTCTCATGTGGGAGCTGGGGACGGAATTCAGGCCCTCGTGCTTGGGCATCAGGGTCTCTCCTCAGTGAGGTCTTGGTCTAGCTTCCTCAGGCTCTTCATGTGTGCCCCCTTCTCCAACATCAGGAGAATGTGCTTTTAAACTTCAGCTAATTTGATAAGGGTATGATACCAGCTTGCTTTTTAATTAAAACAAAACAAAAAAAAACACCGTTGAGCTGAAGAAATGGCTTAGCTAAGTAAGGATACTGGCTGTCCTTCCGAAGGATGCGGGTTCAATCCCCAGCACTCACATGACAACTGTCTGTACTACTCCAGGAGACCCAACACCCTCACCCAGTCATAACACCAGGCAAAACACCAATGCATATAAAAAGTAAAATGAAGCCGGGCAGTGGTGGCGCACGCCTTTAATCCCAGCACTTGGGTGGCAGAGGCAGGCGGATTTCTGAGTTCGACACCAGCCTGGTCTACAGAGTGAGTTCCAGGACAGCCAGGGCTACACAGAGAAACCCTGTCTCGAAAAAACCAAAAAACCAAAAAACCAAAAATAGACCTTGTCTCAAAAAACAAAAACAACAACAACAAAATTTTTTAAGCTGGGCATGGTGGTATATGCCTGGTAATGCCAACATCTGGGAAACAGAAACAGGCAGAGGCAGGTGTAGAATAGCCTAGTCTACACGGCGAGTTCCAGGCCAGCTAAGACTACACAGTAAGACGCTGCCTCACAAACAAGAAACGTGAGGTATGCCAGGTATGCTGGCGCAGGTCTTTATCCCAGCACTCAAGAGGCAGAGGCAGGTGGATCTCTGGTGTTCAAGGCTAACCTGGTCTACAGAATGAGTTCCAGGACAGCCAGAGCTCTATACAGAAAAACTCTGTCTCAACAAACAAACAAAACCCAGCAAATGTGCATGGGTGTGATTGTTTGCCTGTGTGTATGCTCATGTTGCCTAGAGCCCAAGGAGGCCAGCAGGAGGCCTGAGAACCTGGGGACTGGAGTCACGGGCAGCTGTGCACAGCAATGCTCCCAGGTGCTGGGAACAGAACCTGGCTTCTCTGGAAAAGCAGCCAGAGCCGTCTTGCCAGCCCCGATACTAGTGAACTTTAATATGTGTCTTTATACATTCCTCTCCTTCTAAAAGTGGGAGGCTGAGGAAGAGCGAGCACGCTCACTCTCCTGTCCATCACAGCCCCATCCACGCCGTCCTTCTGACACTAAGTGACCCGGAGTAACTCAGCCAGGGGTCTACAAGAGACAAAGGGAACTCCAGAACCTGTCAAAACAGCATTCTCCTCAGTGTGCAAGTGTGTGGGGCTGTCTGTGGTTTCTGTGATGATGGTGGGCTAGCGGTATGGGGTGGTGACTGGCACACAGTAGGAAGGGACCAAGACTTCAACAGGCAATAGAACAGGTCGTCTGAGAGTTCCCAGTTACAGTTTGTATTTATTTGTACTCCTCACATGGTACAGATCTGCCGTGAACTCTATCCTGTTTTAAGCTGGGCATGGTGGACTCCAGTGTGATTATCCAGATGACGGCTCTCTCAGGAGCTGACGGGGATGCTGGGCCACTACATCTCACTTTCCCCACAGTCGTCAGCCGGGCTGGCAGGGAAGGACTGCAGATGTGACCGCGGGAACCACTGCCCGCAGCCAGCTAGACCTGCTCAGAGCTGAGCTCTCCACGAGCAGTCAGCAGACTCTGATCTGACTAGGCTAAGAAAAGGATTTGCTAAGGGGTAAGAACATCTCACAGAATCGCTGACATACGAGGAGACAGACCTACAGGCCAAGGTTCCACAATCAATTCACTAAAACACACTTTACAACAGGGCTGCCAAGGTGGCTGTCACCTCTTGGATAGGCCAGGAAGCAGCCAAACAAAACCAGAGAAACAGCCAAACCAGGGAGTAAGCATTACAGCTGCATCCCCTAAAATCTCATGCCCCCAAAACAGCCAGCCAGCTCCCTGCCAGCCCCCGGCTTCTGTCCTGTGGCTAGGGTAGTCTATGCAGGGGTTTACAACCAGAGCCTTGGTTTCCCAAAGGAAACTTGACTGCATCCAGCATAGAGTCTGGAAAATTTCTCCCTGGCCTTCCTGTCCCTCACACACCAAGGGACTAGAAGGGAAGTGGAGTTGGCCCTTCCAGAGCAGAGCCCTCCAAGAGCCCTTCCAGATCCACCTAGAAACTCAGACTACTGAGTCTAAACATCAACAAAGCCCCAGTCACCCGGATCAGCTCTGCAGCATGGGATAAGCCCATCAGCTCTGCAGCACTGGGGCGGGAAGGTCCCCTTTCTGACAAGCTGCTGGCCGGTGCTGAGGGTGCTAGCCCCAAACTCCTGAGTCTTGAGCAGCAGGTGATGGCTCAGTCCTGGTTCTACAGGCACTGTCTCACTGGCATACAGCCAGGCCCAGGGGCTTATGCGTCCTGTCATCTATGCCCACGTCTGTGACAGAGACTGACTGTGTGACTTCTGTGTAGTGTAATGCTCTTATCTGACTAAAATTACGGATTATCAGGGTTTTCTATGTTTAAAGAGCATCTCAGGCAAGAGTCTACTGACTCCTGCCCCCCACCTCCCACGTGGTAGGACACAGGCATGCATCACACCCAGATACCCATTCATATTATGCCATAGAAAAGTGTATCTTAAATTAAAATGTAAGTAAATCTCTAACCAAATAAATTGTAAACAGTTTTATAGCCAAGCAGTGGCACACACGTTGGATCTCAGCACTTGAGAAGCAGAAGCAGGCAGATCTCTGAGTTCAAGGCCAGACTTGTATACTAAGCAAGTTTCAGGACAGCCAGGGCTGTTATAAAAAGAAACGCTACATCAGAAAAACAAAAAACAAACAAACAACAACAAAAAAAACTCAAAACATTTATTGATCAGTCTCCTGTTATTTATTTACTTATTTTGCTTACTTGTGAGGCAGAGAGCTACCTGCCTTTGTCTCCTGAGTGATATAATTAAAGGTGTTTGTTTATTTCGAGACAGGGTCTTGATACGGAACCTATCTGTCTTGGAACTCAATGCACTATGTAACCAAGCTAGCCTGAAACTACTTATAGTGGTCACCCTGCCTCTGCCCCCAGTGCTGGGATCATGGGCATGAAACACTACATCGGGCTGATAACTCTGAAGAGGCTCTGCAAGCCAAGCTATGCAGACAGGCCCTGCGACGGGCAGTCACCCTGGGCAGAAGCTGCTCTGAGCACAGATGTCTCTTCCAAGTAAGGACGGGAGGCAAACGTGCAGACCCTGTGTTTGCAGAGGAGACAAGACAGGGAGGGGTAGGCTGCTACCCTACGGAGACAGACAACAGCCAAAGGACAGTGGGACAACACGGGAGGACTGGGGGCACAGCCACAGCCCACAGGAGTCATGGTCCCCTACGGCCAGGGCAAGAGGGACAGAGCCTCAAGAACACTCTGGGTAAGAGATCCTCACGGGGCTTCAGCAAGAGCCCGCCCAACAGCTCTAAGCAGGTATCTGGCACAGAGGCTCACGTAGCTCAGGCTGCCTCTAACTCACTGCTGAGGATCTTCAACGTCTGATCCTCCTGCCTCCACTTCTTAGTGTTGGAATTACAGGTCTGTACCAAGATCCCAGTTCATACAGTGCTGGGGTCGCACTCAGGACTCAGGAATGTGAGGTTACCACTCTACCAACTGAGCCACAGCCCAGCCAAGAGCCTTCTTGTTTGGTTCTGGCAGTACTGAGAGTTGCCCCTTGTCCACGTTAGGGAAAACCTTGACCACCACTAAAGTGTATGCCTAGGTCCCGAGTATCCTAACTGCTACGTTATATGTCCACAAAATCAGGCTTGACTCTCACTAGAACAAATATATATATATTTTTTTTTTGGTTTGGTTTTTCGAGACAGGGTTTCTCTGTGTAGCCCTGGCTGTCCTGGAACTCACTCTGTAGACCAGGCTGGCCTCGAACTCAGAAATCCGCCTGCCTCTGCCTCCCAAGTGCTGGGATTAAAGGCGTGCGCCACTACCACCCGGCAACAAATGTGTTTTTTAAAAAAACATTAACTATGTGCCAAGAAGTTGTGGGGAGAGAGGAGTCTCAGCCGTGCTCTTCTGAGTCTTCAGCAAGGCTGGCCGCGGCTCTGGATCGCCCTCTCTGTCCTCTCGGCTTCCACTCCTGGCCTCTCTCTCCCTTAGTCCATAAGCTTTTTTTTTTCAGAGAGGGGAGAATTCCTGGAGTCTGAACGTGGTCTTACACACGCCAGAAAAGCGCTCTTCCACGAAGCCGAGTCCGCAAGCTGAGGGATCGAAGGGCTCTCGAGCTGACTCTGGATCATCCTGGCACACGCAGTGAGGTGGTCACAGGTGACTGAAAGGCTGTCACCTCTCAAGCCGTACCGTAACCAGCACTAGGAGCCATGGCTCTCCCTCCTCCACGGAACCAAGAACAAGCCTCAGCAAGCAGCTGCCTCCTTGGAACACTAACATCTGATCTACAACACGTTCCGAGGTGATGCTGGAGGACGGCCACGAGAAGTCACAAAGGCCTGACAGCTGTCACGAGACACCTCCCTAGCGACAGCCTTCCTCCTGCAGAGAATGGGGACCATCCCTGCCGTGTCACAGCACTGCAGCCATGAGGCTGTGGTGACAGTCAAATGCTGTCTTTCTGGGGGCTGAGACAGGGGACAGTACCACCTGCAGGACAGGACGTCAGCACGTACCTCCTCACACACTTCCCGGACCGCCGCCACACTCGGCTCCTCCTCAGGCTCCATGCCTCCTCCAGGGACAATCCATCGGTCTGGATGGCGGCTACTGCTCACGAGCAGCACCTGAAGTCAGAGGTCAGAGGGAGGTCACGTTCAAGAAGCTATTCACAAATCAGTCCAAACAGAAGGAGTACCACAGTAACTTAGAAGCACAGCTTGTTTACACCTGCAAATAACCACGAGGTAGTGCCTGGTGCTGGGAACAGTAGGCATGCGCCCAGGACATGCCAAGGGCATCTTCAGGGAACAACGGAGGGCTGTGGTCTTTCATTCCCCTCACTCAGCTGTCTGTCTGTCTGTCTCATCCTCTCGTCCATCCTCTCCTTTTTCCTAAATCCCTTAGCATATACAGCCAATCAGGTAACACATAAACAGGTGCGAGTAACAAGCCTGGAAAAGCCACACGAGGACCAGGAGTGAGGCCGCCTGCCGGCTGTGGATGCCGCCACAGGCCACACACGTGTCTTGCCAGCAGTGCACTCCCAGAGCTGGGCTCCCTTTGGGCGCCGGTGCGGCGGAAGTCCTTCTACTACTCAAGTGCTACAGCTGCTGATGAGCGGAGTTCTTTTTAGTTAGTCTGTTTGAAAAGTTACCACCTGCTATGCAGGTATGTATGTCCGTGCGCCATGTGCATGCAGGCCAGAAGAGGGCGCTGGAGCCCCTAGAGCTCAAATTACAGATTGCTGTGAGCGGCCATATCGGTGCTGGGAATCAAACCCGGGTCCTCAGGAAGGAGGACTACAGTGGCATCTCTCCAGCCCTGGAATTCTTCTTTAATGTATATCACAATTAAAAAACAGGGTCTCGTGCCATTGCCAATCTGGCCGGCCTGTCCTCTCGTCTCTACTTTCCATGCGCTAAAATTACATGGGTGTGAGCCGTCATGCCCAGCTGGGACTGAATGGTGGCGCACACCTTTAATCCCAGCACTTGGGAGGCAGAGGCAGGCGGACTTCTGAGTTCGAGGCCAGCCTGGTCTACAGAGTGAGTTCCAGGACAGCCAGGGCTACACAGAGAAACGAGAGAGGGGGGAGGGGAAGGAGAGATAGAGACAGAGACAGAGAGAGGGGAGGGAGAGAGAGAGACACTGTCTCAGAACAAATAAACAAAGGGATAAAAGACAAAATGCAAAAGCCTGGCTAGAGACGGCTCAACCATTAAATGGGCTTGCTGTTCTCACAGAGAACCCAGTTTGCTCCCAGCGCTCGCACAGGGTAAGTCCATCTCCAGGGCAATCAACACCCTCCTCTGGACTCAGCTGGTAACACATCCATGTGTACATACCCACACGTATTCACACATCAATTAAAAACTAAGAAAATCAATCTTGAAAGATTCTAATTTTACTATGTTGGACTTAACCGGCTTTCTGGTGATGGTGGAAACAGTGCACACTCTCTCCAGCCCCCCCCCCACACTGTCTGGGACTCCCACACGAGCAGCTGCTCCTTCCCAAGCTAAGGAGGGAGGGCTGCTTCCCACAGGCAGTTCATTCTCTGGTGATGGCGGAGCCTCCTGCCCTATTCTAATCTGCGCTCCCTCTGAGCTCCCGTTTTCCACCCTGCAGCCATCTTTGCTGCTGCAGCTCACTCCTGCCTCTGCCTCACAGAAGCCACTGGGCTTCCCACCACCCCATCTCCTTCCACACCTGGGGCTTCCCCCTAAATCCCCTAAATCCCCGTCTCCCTGTCACAACAGTCTCCTGCTGCTGATCCACAGAATCTGTCCCGTGTGGACCACAGGAGGCTACGGGGTGCAGACGGGTTCCACAGTTCACACACAGAGCCCAGACTAAACTCATGGACTCACACAGCGCTGCTTTGGGAATGTCAATCCTGCTTTGTGTAGGAAGATACATTACTGTGGTGACGAGGACACCACACACAGGACACTGTCAGCCCACCCCTGCCTCCCTGCTTTCCTTCAGGTGTCCTTGTAAAGGACTCTGTCCCAGCAGAAAAGCGAGTAACTAATATGGGCCTACCCTTAAGCCACCTCTGCTGGGGTCTGCTTCACCAAGGATAGCTTCTGCTTCCCAGACCTGACGGGTCACCACGTGCTGAGTGCTTTGCCGGATGTATGTGTGGATCACATTGGTACCTAGTGCCTGCACAGTCCAGAAAAGAGCATCCGTCTGGATGGAGAGATGGCTCAGCAATTAAGGGCCCTGCTCCTCCTGCCCACCTCTTCCAGAACCTGGGTTCAACTCACAGCAGCCACATGGCAGCTCACAGCTTCCTAACTCCAGTTCCAGGAGATCCAAAACTCTTTTCTAGTTCTCTGTGGGCACTGCATGCACATACTGGCAGGCAAAACACCTACTTGCATAGAATAAAAAATTAAATTTTAAAAAAGGAAGCATCAGATGACCTGAAACTGAAGTAACAAGTACCCAGGAGCTGCCACAGAACCCAGAACCTCTGGAAGAACAGCCAGTGTTCTTAACTGCTGCCCTTCTCTTCAGCCCCTCTGGAGGATTTTATTAATATGGCCTTTTTGTTCATTTGTTTTCTGTTTGGTTTTTGGTGTTAGAATCCAAAACCAAGATCATATGTGTGCTGGAGAGCACTCGTCACGGAGTCACAGTCTTGGGCTTCTGGATGGAGACCCTGGGCATTCCCAGCTTTCCGCCTCTAAACCATGCAGTCCCTTTGACAACAACCACTTTCCACATGTGAGCACACCAGGAGACTCCATTGTCTGCCCAACCAATCTTCACAGGCACTGGGAAGGTGCCTGTGCAGTAGGACCACGGAAACTTTTCCAGAGCGAGAGCGAGAGCAAGACAGAGAGAGAGACAAAGCAAGAAAGACAGACACACATGCACACACATACACACACAGACAGACAGTGCACTTACACAACCTAAGACTGGCGTGGGCTTCTTAAACCTAAAAGCCTACCCCCAGTGATAACTCTTCCAACAAGGCCACACCCCCACAAACAAGGCCACACCCCCTAACTCTCCCACCTGTCACAGAAGCCACATCCAACACCACACAGACTCTGGTGGCAGCCTCCCTCACCCAGTCATGTCTCCAGGCCGTGTTCTCACAGCACCTGGCCCCTGCTTGAGACACTGCCTTTACAATGGCAGGACCTTCTGGTAAGTTCTAGCTCACAGAATCCTTGAGTTGTGCATGCCTGTGAAGGCTCTGCCTACCCCAAGGCTGGCCTGTGCACTCAGCTTTAGCCTGCAGTACTGTGGAGATCACGTGCCACCATGTGTTCTACGGGTCCGTCCCTGCATGGACTGAGGATGAGGGAAATCTCGAGTCACAATGGCATTCCTACCGTCACAGTGGAGAGCGGAGGCTGCTGTGGATACCAGGAATGCAGGATGCCTATTGGGGGACCAAGTGAAGCAGCCCAGGCTACACAGGCTGCAAATGTCAGAGACAAGGGGGTGGGACTACCACCACACAGTCTACAGGCTGGACCCAGAACTGGGTGGCTCTGCCAGGTCCAGTCTTCCAGTGACAATCTGCTACTGATTCACACTGGCAATGTTCACTCTGTCATCACGTACTGGAAGTCTGTAACCTTCTGTTTTATATTGCCTGGGGCCTCAGAAGATATCCTGGCCCCTCACTGCTATGCTCTGGTTGTAGCCCTCGGGGATCGTGTCTCTGGCCTTGATTAGAACAGGATTGGACTTTAGACCACAGCCCGTAGGGAGGAGGAACTAGACCATTTGCATTATAAATGGGTCTGAAAAGCGGTCTGCAGGCTCAAGCCAGCTTGGTATTACTGTATCAAAGACCCGGAGGGCCTTCAGGCTCAACTGGCCTTCAGCAGTACTTCACGAAGGGCAGGTCTTTCCAGATCTAACCTGTCTCTGCTTCCTGTACTCTCTGCTTCCTGGGTCATGGTGTGTCCTCACAGACAGCCCCTGCTCCACCTGCTGTGACAGCCTGAAATCTCAATGAAACCATCAACAAAGTTGACTTTTCCTCCCAGAAGTTATTTCCCTCAGGCCTGTGAACTGAGAGGCTGCACTAACCAGAGTTTACTACGTTCCAGGACTCTTCCAGAGCCACACACCATTACTACAAAGATGTATCCTTAGAAGGCTGTGGTGACCACACACCACTACTACAAAGTGCACCGTTAGAAGGCCATGGTGGTGCATGTCTTTAGTCCAGTGTGGGCAGGCAGAGGCAGGCAGACCTCTGAGTGTGAAGCTGGCTACTGTTACCCCGGTCCTTTCCCAAGTTAAACCTGCTTAGTGAGTCTCCTCACCTGCTGGCATTCAAACAAGTCCTCTAGAGGTGGGAGCTGCACAAGAGACCCCTGAAGTGTCAGACAGACAAGGTGGAAGGAAAAATGGGGCAGATTTACTCATGTGCCCGCAGTACTGAGACACAACTACCCTGTGTGCCAGCTGATGGAGAAGGAAGCAGGCTTGTCACTCAAGGATAAGGGGCATGTTCGGCAGCTGTGGGAGATTAGGGCGTCTTGGCAGTGCAATAGGGCCCAAAATAGACGCATTCAGCACATATACGGGAGAGGTCTGAGTGGCATGTATTTTTAGTAATGGCGTACTTACAACTCTTACATGTCCAGGTGAAAACTGATCCAGCCAACAGCCTTCAGAAATGACTCTGCTCCCCATACACTCTCAGAGCACAGGGCTCTGGACAGTAAGTACCCTGTAACCTACTTCAACTGGACACAAAGAATTAAGGAAGAGAGGGCTAGTGTGACAGCCTGACTCTCTCAGTCAGATCCTGGGAACCCACATACAAAGCTGGACCTAGCGGTACCTATCTGTAATCCCAGCTTTCCTACAGCAAGATGGAAGACAGAGACAGTGAAACTGACTGCAGCAAAGCTTCATGGGACAGGAGCACGAGAAAGAACGAGAGACTGCCCCCTGCGGCGCACACACCACATACATACGACACAGGCACAGACAACAACAACAATAGCAGTATCTCTGGAAGCTTATTCCCTGGCTGGCCTGAGATGTGAGATACTGACTCTGCCTCCCAAGCACTGGGATTTAAGGTGTGCACCACCATGCTTGGTCCAATAAATAAAATACTGAAAAAAATAATTGA